ACTAAGTTTCGGTACGTATATGAGTTTCGAAATGTCTTGTCAAATTGTTCTTTTTAGTTAGCCTATAAACACACACACACATATGTATATTATTTTAATTTTATTACCCTGTGCTTTGTTCTTCGCATTTGTGTGTTGATGTCAATGGCCTGGCATCCGATGCGATTTAACTCACTTTGATATATTTATTTTAGCATCGCTTTCGCATATGAATACCAACAGTTAATTTCTCTTGCTTTGCAGCGTTTTTGATTATACATATTTTATATTTAATTTAGCCTTTCTTATTTTACAGATTTTTTACATTACATATGTAATTTGTGTTAAAACAGTTTAAATGTGTTGGCAAAATTATTGATGTTTTGTATGGAAAATGGCAGTTTAGTTTGCTGTTAGATAAACCTATTTATAACATATATAAATATATTTCTTTATACATGTGTACGTATGGATGTATGCACGTAAGAAATAAATGCACTAGTTGTTGTCACGTAGCATAATCATGGCGTATTGTCACATGTACTACATATTAGGATACCCCCTAAATAAACTCTTTTTGAAATGTGAAACGCCGTACACTAAGGGTATAAGTATTAAAATCAATCAGTAGCGTAGTTGAAGGTGAATTTATGTGGCGCTGGTTAGGTAAAGTGCTAGACTTTTATAAAAAAAATATAAACATTAACCAAACAAAAGAAAAATAGCCAAACCTAGTCAAAATGTCACTTGACTTAATCAGTTGACCACAAGTGTATGAATGTGGGTTGTCACCGCTCTGCATGTTTGTTACATATATGTACACTTACATATACACTCTAAAAAATCTGTTTAAACAGCAGATCTGTATTTTGTAGCGTGTACACACGTTTGTAGTAAATGTACGCACACTACAGCAGCTATATTACACTCTAAAAAGTCCGAAATTTAAACAAACTATACGTTGAATAATCGAGCATGTAATTTCGCGAATAATAAGGTAGGAAATCGGTAAACTGCCTTTTTGGCTAGGGAATTTGCACACTTTTTTTTAGAGTGTATATACTCAGATGTGGATATTTAAATACCTCCGTGCTAAATTTTGTTATGAAAATATTATTTTTAAATACGAACATTTTCAAAAGATTATCAAATATAAAGTATTAATTTTTACTATGCATTATTTCTCTCAGTGTAGTTGCAGAAGGTTGACATTTGACATTTTAATTAAAATGCAGAAAAAAATTTTCAATTTGGTTGATATCGTGTGGCTCCGCCAAAGGTTTGAAAATCCGATTAAAACAAATGCGAAAATGGGAAAGCCGCGTAATATCTTTTTGAGAGAGTTTCTAGATATTTGTTGGCATATGTTTGTTTGTTGGCCACTATCAACGCTCAAAAAATTACGTAAACCCTATAAAATGTCGAAAATCTTAAGTCTCTTCATGCATTGTCTGCGAAGTTAGGGTTTTTTTTTTTAATGAGAAGGCATTTCAGCTCTCGATTTGAGCTTCTTTAAAATGAAGCCCTCTCAAGCTACGTGCAAAGGTTTCTCAATCTCAAATTCACTTGCAACCGCAGGATCCGCCCGAAGGCTGCTTTCCTCACATCAACCCGATCATCTACAACCTTTGCCAGCAAAATATTTTCAGACCTTCTGAACTACTTCTATTGACTTTTCAGCCATATAGTTTGAGTACTTGAATATTCGCCATATATGAATTGAGTGAAAGCTAATGCCGACGAAGGTCCAAATACGGGATAATGGTTTTCGCTTCGGGTTCCTATTTTTTTCGCTTACCCAACTAAAAGGCTAAGTTCCTTTTAAAATAAAAATCTTAAAAAAAAAAACTTAGCAAATTTGACTGGGATGGGTAAAGGGAAAATATAATTAAGAACACACGACTTCGATTCAAAAAATACAACTTTATAGATCGTTTAATGATTGTTTTTCTTTAAGCGGATTTTCAAACTTTGGACGAAACCAAATGATATCAACCAAATTGAAATTTCGTTTTTGCATTTTTATTAGAATGTCGATTTTTATCTTTCTGCAACTAAGGCGCTTTACATTTCAAAAAAAAAGTGTACTTATGAGCTACCCTAGTACATGTTCGGCATATGTTAAGTCTTTTTTTGGTATTTAAAAATTAATGCAATTGTTCGTTTAAGTATTTTTGTAAAAGCAGACGGTCGCATCGGTTTTGTTTTTAATTTACATTAAGCTGCATTTTTCAAAAATTCATTTTCCGACCGAGTTTGAGAATGCAAAAGAAAAAATTTAATGTCGTTTGTCCCTTAAGCTTTCGGCTACGAATTGCGCTCCCATCCTCCATATTTTCCCAATTTAGTGCCAAATGTTTCTTGTTACCAAAGCTGAAGAAGACATAGCTTGCTGGTAAGGGGATTGGCTAACATGAAGACTTCATAGCTGACACAAGCACATTTTGAGAACCTTAAGGAAACATTTCACTCGGAGGAGATTAATATGTAATATCAGGCCAAAGGGAGGCCAAGTAGAGAAGCTTAACAACTTCTTGGTGAAAAACTTTCTTTTTTTCCCAAAAAATTATTTAGTTATCGAACTCCCCTAGTACGTTTAAAGTTTTTCAAAGATACGGGAGAGTAAAAAGGGAATATTTCTAAAATTTTTTTAGAATGACCTAAAGGTTGGATTTAAACAGATAGTCCGTATAGGTATGAATGCACCATTGCCGTCACGTAGCAAGCGCCGTATTAACAAATACAAATACATATAAACCAAATAAATTTTTGTTAACTTGTTTTTTAGCTAGAAATGATTCAAAACCATATTTATGAATTACTACGTGAAAACTGTAGGGGGAGGGTGATCTTGGAATATTCTACGCGAGGTCACCGGGGGGGGGAGGGAGGTTAAAAATTGCAAAAAGTGGGTCACGAAGTATGGGTACGTTCCCTAACTGCCAGGTGCGAAGATAAGTATAGTATACATATTAAATTTTGATGAATAATTTTTTATTTTTCCGAGTTATAAAGCGTTTTAGAGTGTCAGACCAATACTGCTCCACGGCGCTTTGGTGTAGTTGAAGGCAGCAAAAAAGTGCTCATACCTCGGGCCAATGGAGAAGGTTAAGCGCATCGCAGGGCTGTGCATCACGGCAGCGCTGAGGTCCACTCCAACGGCTGATCTTGAAAAAATTCTCAGTTGACCGCCCATTGACCTATTTGCGGAAAAGCGTGCTATTCAATTCGCAGGCAGATTGATGGCCTTAAGGGAATTCCATTTCAGAACCTTTGAGCACAAAAGCACAATTGGGGCGGGAATCACAGGCAGCACGGTCTACATGGCACCTAGCTTTATGTGGGAACGAAAGCTTCGCGCAGTGATTGAGGAGGAGGAGGGATAGCGCAAAGGAATGAAACGTAGCCGCAGATTCCCAAACCTTTTCACGGAAGGATCTAAAATGGTAACGGGAGTGGTAGCCGGGATTTATTTCCGGGAACTGAACGTTTGCCAGTACGCTTATCGCTTACCATTGCAGCATTTTTCAAGTAGAGCTTTTAGCAATGAAGAGAGGAAGCCTACCCCGAAAGTACAATCAATTCAAAAGTAAACCTAAACGTAGACAATCAGGCGGCAATTAAGGCATTTACCACATATAGCATTTCATCCATAAACATCCATTGACAGGCTAGCCGCCGACAGAAGGCCACATATCTATTGGGTGTCCGGCCACACGGAAATAGAGCGTAATGCAATAGCAGGTGAGACAGCCAAGAACGCCACAAGTCGGACTATATACTTATACAAACATATCGATGGTCCTGTGTAATAACGACACAATTCAAAATTTAAAAAATAAAAACGCTTACTACTTTAAGTGGATCAGGTCACGAATCTTTGCTCGGCCCATGTCTAATCTTTAGTACTTACTTTAGAAATCCTTGCTGCTCACTTTAGTAAGGTATGAAAATGGATTGGACAAGGATTAGTGACAAGACAGTAGTAATAGTTTTTATTTTTTGAATTTCGAATTGTGTCGTTATTACAGAGGACCATCGACATTTATATATGTAAATATGAACAAATTCTACAATAACATGTTATTTGAATTTTTAAAATAAAATACGGAGTATTTTTCCCAGTCACACTCATAAATACTTAAATTATAACATTTAAACCTTAAAATTCAAGAAGTAGTGGTTTTCAGCTGCCAAAATAAGTACTCAGAAAAGTTTCGCCTACTATTAAATCTGCATTTAAGCTATCATTAGTTCCTCCATCGCCCTTCAATCGTAGGCAAACCACCATTTATCAACCGATTAAGTAATTTATTGCCACATAAACTTCGCTTTTATGCGACCATTGCCATAGATTTATGCCAGCATTGTGATAGCTTGCAGCAAAACCGCTTGTTGCCATTCAAAGCGGAATAACTAATGAATGTAGAAACGCGATTCTTCAACAAAATAGGCAATTCAGAAGTAGGGAACGTCATTTATAGTATACATGTTGCAAATCGCGTGTTAAACCAATGACGAAATTTCGCTTTGCATATCTACTTGAAAGGACCTAAGACATGCTGAAGTCCTTGCAGAGCCTCTGTGAATGCACGTAACATTACATATGTATGTGTGTATGTGAGCTTTTTTTTTTAAGGAATACTGGTTTAGGGTGACTTGAAGAATGAACAACGGTACACTGGTACCATTTATACGTTAGTCTGAGTAGTATCGACTAAGTCGAAATGGTTAAATGCAATTACTTACAGATATATTTGTATCTTTGTACACATTGTATGCTTTTGTTTGAGTGAGTGTGTAACACCTATTTGCATTTCAATGAAAAACGAAAATTGTTATCCACTTAAGTTGAATTGTGGCAAGGAGTCGCTGCTGAAGCGTAGCCATTTTTTAAACTGACGCGTGGTATGCTAAAAAAGCTCTGGTTAAGCAAGCAAGAGAGTCCTTTTCCACTCGTGTGCTGCTACGCCAGTGACGCGAAGAAGTTACTTAAAATCACAGGAAGACTTAATAAATCGAAGTTTAAGTGGATCGCCATGCTTAGTGATGTAAGGTGGTTAGTTCAGTCTACGCGAAATGTCTGCCCTCATAAGGAATACAAAGAAAGATATTCGAAATTGTGGTACATACACATTTATGTTAGAAACTTTCGAATAAAACTAAACAGCCACAAGTAAATGACGAAATAACTTTAATCAAGTTGCCATTGCGTGATGCGCCTGTGTATATGCTAAGGAAAATTAATGCCACCAGAAAGCAGAAAAATGCAAATTTGTCGGTCGGTCAGTAGCCAGTACTGCTTCGAGGTCTTTGTTCGATTTGTGTGTTTTTTTTTTCATTTTAGTTTTCCACATTTTTCTCGCTATGTTTGCGGACATGCGCCGCCCTTACAAATACATATGTACATATGTCTACACAACCATATCCTTGCATGCGTATGTACATTCGTGTTTGCGCCTTGATAAAAACGCGTACTTAGCTTAAATAAACATACCAACATACTTCACTAGTTACTTTAATCAAATAAGCATAGAGCTTAACTAGTTTAGCTTATGTACATAGACTACTCACAAATTAGCGCCGCACCGATGCTGCTGCTGCCGCTACCACAATTGTCGCCGACGCGGCCACCTTCGCCTGTGGCATACATTGTATCGTACATTGGCAGCTGCACCGTCGGCAACCACTAAAAGTACATGACCACATCACTTACGCCGGCCGCATATCAATTGCCTTGCTGCGTCACCAGCTTGCCTGCAGCTACGACGCCACTACCACCGCCAACGCCTAGATGCGCACTGCTTGGCAGCATGCCGGGTTCGCCCGCCTCCGCATACAGACAGGAGCCTTCGCTGCACGAACAGGTGTCGCCTTCGCGTGAGCTGTTGCAGCAGTCGCTGCAATTGCGATGATCGCCAAGCACCTCATAGCCGCAGGACGAGCTGCCGCCTAGCGTGCTTGTGTTGCCATTGCCGCCGCCGCCGCCGCCGCCGCCACCGCCGCCGTTGCCTTTCAGCATGTGTTCACGCTCTGCGCACTCGTTGATATCCGCATAACCACCATTACTATTGCCGCTACCCCCGCCACCGGCACCGGTTTGCTTTTGACAGCGGTAGTTGCCTTTGCCGCCGTCTTGGCTGCTTTCTGAGCGCATGGTGTCATTGCCGTTGCCCGCGTGCGCGGCCGCTGCCGCCGCTGCTGCTGCATGCGTGTGATGCTGATGCGCGTGCATATGTTGATGGTGCTGTTGGTGTGCGTGCGGATGGTTGTGCGTATGCGTGTGCGAATGTGAGTGCCGCGAATGGTCAGAACACTCGGAGGAACATTGATAGATTGGGTTGGCGCCACCGGCATTGGGTGGCAGATGCGCCTGCAGGGGTTGGTACCAACCGTCACCGGGTGGTGGCAGTGGCTGGAGTGGCGAAGCGAGCGCATCACAGCTATTGCAGGCTCTGTAACCAAAACGAGAAGAGCGAATATTAAATTACAATTGCAGTGCGCACAGTAACTTGGTTGCATCATTGCAACAACAGAAGAGCAAAGTAATTGGCCTACGCCGTTGTACGGGTACTTACCGGCCATTGGAACAGCGGGAATTGTGCGTGCCCGACGGCTGATACTCGCTCATTGCGTGTCTGGGCGCCGGGTAGTGGATATGTATGTTGCGTGGCGGTAATTGTGCGGTGCCTGCGGCGCCGGGGGGAAAGTATGGCGGTAGTGGTGGAGGATGTTGGCCGGTCGGTGTAATTTGGTAGCGATTCTGTGCGCCGCCCACGCAGGGCAAAGGGTTGTTGTAGTAATTCTCTGTTGGCCGCGAGGCAACGCACTGTGGTGCCACACCCCACGTCGAGAAACCGCCCGAGGAGCTGCTGTGTATGGATGAATTCAAAGCGCTGGAGGAGCGAGGAGAAGTAAAATGCAATTCTTATTTAATTAAAATGAAATTAACGTATAGTTTAGCAGTAATTAAACAAAAAGGCTGCTTCCTGCAAGGTTTAAGAAAATCAAAGTAGTTTGAAACTTACCTTTGATGTGTGGACACACCTGAACCACCGCTCTTGGAGCTTTTACGCGAAGACTGTGGTGAGCCAGGCGCATATATGACGCCTACTGCGCCGTTGCCTCCGCCGCCGCCGCTGCAACCGCTGGGTAGCGGTGGTGGATGCTCCGGTGGTGGTGGCAAGAATTCTGACCAATTAAATTGCTCTGTCATTTAATTTTTTATTTTTTTTGCAAGTTAATAAGACAACAGCAATAACGACATAGAACATCAAATGATTTTTTCAGCGCAAAGTATATGTGAGGAGCCGGAAGTTGGAGAGGACATGAAATTGTAGAGAACATTTTAAATGGCAATTAATACTTCGCTTATATGCAAGCATTCATACATAAATTTTGTTAATTAAAAAAAATCAAACAAAATTAATTATATGCATTTTGATCTTTGTATCTTCGTAAAAACTGAATGATTACACCGTGCGACAGTAAATTTTACACGCAAAAAAAATCAATACATTCGAAAAACTGTGAGCCAAATATAGAAGAACTGCGTTTCTAGTTTTTCTCTCTGACGTCAGAATTTTTTTTTAAAGACTTTGAAATTCGAAAAATATGATTTCTTCAAAAAAATAATTCCTTTTTTTAATTCATTGCAATGTGGAAAAATGTTATGGGTATCAAATTAAAGAAAACATTTTGTAGAATTAAAGCCGGTTAAGCATAAGGACGATTATCTTTCGAAAATGTCCTTTTAAAATTTTATCCTTCAATATCCTTGAAATGTTGCGATAATTATTTAAAAAAAAATTATATATTAAGGACTAATGTAGCTCGACCACATCCTCTTTATTAACTTAAAAAATAAAATTAATTAGAAGAGCATTTTCAATACTTATTCATCATTGCTAACCAAAAAAAAAAAATTTAATTCTGCAGAGTTTTCTTTTCCATTTGGTACCCATATTTTGATTCTATATTGAACTGAATTTTTGAATTAATCATATCTTTGAGACTACAAAGTCCTTTAAAAATTTTCTTACGGCAGAGAGAAAAACTAAAAACGCAGTTCAGCTATATTTGGCCCACAGTTTCGTGAGTATATTGATTACTTCGTGTGTTTCGATCTATTTTTCATTTTTGTCGCACGGTGTTATCAATAGTAATCCAAGACCAGGTTATTGCAGCAAAATATTATTTTAAACTAGGAGCGCCAGTTACTGTCGAAACATAACCGTTTTTCTAGTTTTTTAAGAGCTTTGGAAAGAGTTTCCAACTCAGCAAATCGTTCAACTTATTTATGAGGTACAAAATTACTTATCAGAAAATCTTCTGCTTAGGAACTAAAACGTGACTACAATTTTGACGTAGAACACGTCTTACGTTTCGATATGGAGGCTAAGCTTAAATGTTGTAGTTGTAATTTTTAGAGCTTCACGAAAACGCCTACTGCACGAGCACTAGTGAAGCGATTTCAAAGAAAAGTATGGCGTTTCAAAGTTATGTTCCCAAGTCTATCAACAAATGCATTCCTCTAAGTAACCAATTAGGTTTCTGTCGTAGAAACAACGGTAAATACTGGCTTATTTTGGGGTCTGTTTTGAGCCTTTAAAGTGATCCAGCAACTTATGATTTGCAAATATAACTTACATTTTCGGGATATATGCATGTTCTTTGGAGTACTAGAAATATTATCGTGTACAAATTTTACATAAATTCAACAAATATTGAGCATTTTAAGGCACCAAATTTGCAGATTTTTTTATTATCAAAATGCTCGAAAACCACTCCAATGATTTTGTTTTTGTTTTCTTTAATCAAAAACTCAAGTTTTTTCCTTTCGTTCGGTATATGGGAAGTATTGGTTGATATCTTCGAAATACGGATGTTTATTTTATTCAAATATATGGGCATAAATTATTTTCCATATAAAATCACTTCGTCATCATTTTGCAAACACGTGCATGCGTTGGAAGTGAGAGGAGACAAACAGTATGTGTGTGTAGCTATTTACATACATATGTATGTACATATATATTTGGATAATAAAAACAATAAACTCCTGCCATCCGTTCTCCTTCCCTTCCTTTCCTTAACTTTGGAAAATGTGTTTTTATTTTTATTTTATTTTTTCAAGAAATTACAGCTGAAAACACGAAAATACAAATTGAGATAAAAAAGGGATGTTAATCAACTTTTTAAAATCCTTTGGCATTTCTTCATTATTTTACCAGCTTAATCAAATGCTGTTGCTCCGATGCCCACCACTCCCAACGTTTTTAAATTTGTTGCACAGTGTATTTAAGCTTTTCAGATGAATTAGTAAAAATATTTACATATACATACATATTATGCTCATTATTTCCTTGAACAAATTTTTAAATACCTAAAATTAATTACTTATTCCCCCGAAAAGGTAAGGGACTAATTTTTTTTGTACCTGCATACACTCATACATACGAGTATCTACATATACACGATCATTAAATGCAAATCAAGATTAATAAAATATTTATGTAAACCGGATGCTATGACTCCTTTAAATTAGCTTTTTCTGCCTGCAGGCTAAGCGCTGCCGACTTTACAGAAGGAAAAAACAATTTGCCGCTGAAGTGCAGATAACTAATGCCGCATTACCGCAATTTATCAGCTGCAAATCTAGAGCAGCTTTAACGCTGCCGCAAAGCGTAAAACTGCCATCGGCTGGCGGCAGTATAAGTATGCATTTATTTCCTATTCCCCCCACATGCCACATAGCATACCGCATCGCGCACATGTTTAGCAACGTCGAGTTACTTATCCAACACTTGGAAACAGGAAACACTTCAAAGGCCAAATGCAGAATGAAATCAAAGGAGCAAAAAAGCAGGAGGCGAGAGAAGTTTTGCCGCAAGTAATTGAATTTTTAATTTTGCAAATACTGCCAACTTAGCGAAGGATAAACTGAACAAATCACGAAAGAAATAATACTGGCGGCCAGATAGGCAAAACAACTATGACGTAGAAGCAGAAATGCGGAGTAGAAAAAAATTAATGTTCGTATAACAAAGCAGTAAGAGTTCAGATCCTAGCTGCCGGGGTTGAAATTACAATGCAATCAGATGAATAAAACGTGGCAGTCCCCCAATCGGGCAGCTGTCAATAGCAATCAGTGGCAATAGAAGGCTGGTTGGCAGGAGTATTGCAGGGCAAAATTGTACGACAACATAGGGATAAACATATATACATACGTATATCTTACAACAATTGAATGTAAAAGCAAGTAAAGTTAGAAAAAAAAGTGTTCAACATAGACGAAATAAAGGATATCAAGGATATCAGATGAAAACCAAAAAATTTCGAAATCTCTTTAAGCAAATCTAATCGAGTGCGAAAACAAAAGCATTTTTACAAAGCCAATGGCAGTCTATGAATTTGTCTGTGTAAGAAGCAAAGCTAAACAAAAATGCAAGTTAGGGAACAAAAAAAAAAAGTTTGAAAGCAAAAGCATTGCTGGTAGTCAAAAATAGAACGAAGCGAAAATTGATAGCAAATCTTTAGCTAAATCGGATAAAAAGCACATACATCGTACGCGCACATATGTACATACACATTTGCTGCAACTATGCGCTTATTGCTAAAAGGATATCAATGAAAGGCACGAAATGGAATATTTTTTTGATTTAACAAGGGCAAACAAGAAGCATAGCCAGATTTATCTCCTGCCTTTTATTGTATTTACAAACATACTGATATGCTTAAATTACAAACATACATATGTATGTATGCGCTCATATGGAGAGTTTAATATCTACCTATGTATGTGAATCAAGTACGAATCGAAATAAAGGTAGAAAAATTAAATTTAAGAAAATTGTGGAATTACCGATTGCATACATTAAAAAGCAAAAATATGTAATTTCTTGCTCAAAATAGGAAAAGTCTGTATGCTCGGTATGGTCTCTGGTCGCAATCAATTGTCCGAAGGATGAATCAGCCTTGACCGAACATTCTTTGAACTGCCATCAATTTATAACTTAAGAAAGTTTTATTACATGGCAGTTGAGAAGTGCATGTGCAAAAATTTCATCAGTTTAATGAAGGACAATTTTGTACATGCAGCAGTACAAAACATGCAGTTAGGCGCGCGATGTTAGCAGTCGCGCCTTTTTATCACCCATATACCTTAGTGTATTACTTAGTAAATTTCGGTTTACTTAAAAAGCAATAACAAGAAACTAGGAAAACCAAATCGAAAAATTACTAAGGGAAGGTAGGCTGGAAATGAAATTTCGTTAGTAGCATGCAACAACGAAGCATAAAATTATAAAATTTTTAGTATAACGTTATATGTCTCATAAAATAATACGAATTACTAAGTCTATTTAAGATAACAAATTAAATTTAGTAAAAATAAAAAAAATAAACTTTAAAAGCAAACACTCGTATTTCCACAAACCTGCTGGATAAGGATGATAGTTGTGCTTGCCACTGTTTACTGGTGGCATACCAGCCGCAGTAACGCCAACGCCTACACCGCCAGCAACACATTGTGGCGTATTGCCATCTGAGTTCGGCGAGTGGGTGCCCGAATCCTGATCGGTGCTTGATGAGGATGTTTTCATGCAGGTGGTCTCCGTCGAAGAAGCGCCAACAATCATTGTTGTGGCGTATGGCGTTGGATTCTCGGGGCTCTGGGGCGCATAAAACGGGGGCGAAAAAAAGAAAAAGAAAAATACATTGAAATACAATTTCTCGACATATTTTCACTTTTAGCATAATTTAAATATTTTTTTAACATTTTTCCTTCCACGCTAGTAATTCTTTTCACACTTACCTTTCGACAGTTGTAGAAGGTGCTCATGTTGCGCGTATCCACTTCCGCATAGTCGGTGCCGCCATCTGAAGTGTAGTTGGATTGACTGTTCGCATTCGACAGCAGTTTCGTCTCACTCAAGCCGGAATCTTTGTCGGTGTCGGTGGTACGCCAGCCACGGTCAATCCACAGGCTATCCTTGCCATTAATATTAAGCGCAGTGATTTCGTTGGCACTGACTACTGCAGTTTTCGTTGCGAGTAGAGATGGGATAATGAAAGGCGAAAAAGCAGCAGCAACGCAGAAGAATATTGCAAGAAGGAAAGCAAAAAAGAAAATTGGGTGATGAAATGCGAACGTCGTGCAAAAAAAAAAAAAGATTTTCGGTGATTCGTTAATTTTTATTTTCTGCTTATTTTTATATTTTAAATACGATGGCAGAGAAGAGTATGGAATTTAACACAATTGCGAATGCAAATGATGTAAAGTAAAGATGAGGCAGCAATTAATTTTCAAGAAATGCAAGTGCATAAAAAATTGATATTAATTGCTGTGCTCCGAGAATACGTTCATACATATTGTATCACGTAAACGATTCTTATAATTAGGAGCGTGGCGGTTTTTCGATTTAATGAGGAAAAACATTGTGGAGGAAAACTTGGTTTTTTTATGGTAGCATTTAGCCATTATTTATTATGGGGAATTAACAAAGACGGCGCATAGTTATGTATGCATAACGAAAATAATGGTTAAAAATGGTACAATTTTTGTTGTAAGCCTAATTAAAATTTTCGCATTTAATACTTAATTTTGAGTGATTACCAACTTTCCGCGACATTAAACCTCTTCAAATTGTGTGTAACAAATTGCCAAAATTTTGGGTCACTGTGGCCTCTTAAGCTTCCAAAAATATTAGAAAAATCGAAACAAAATTTTGAGTATGCCCACAAAGGGAAAACTATCTTAAAAAGTAGTATTCCATCTTCATTAGCTCATGTTCAGCAGGCGGATTCCAACATTAGTTATAGTTTTTTTTTGATCGCCAAAAATCTCCAAATTGAACAGCAGGCGCGCCTAACAACATGACACATCTAGTTAAGTGCTCCTCATACCGCGAGATGTGGCTGATTACCAGGGCTAGGAAATAACTCTTAACCGAAAACACATATTGAATTTTCTCGGATACTTATCATATTGCTCAGTCACATAAAAGTTTCTCTCGGATAGATATACAAATGCCCGCATTATTCTGTTTGCCCACTGAGATTTACATTTAATTTCAAGAAATAAATCTCTTTCTCTGGGATTTATATTTTATTTCAAGAGAGATGAGATTAATTTATAATGGATGCTTGTTTTCGAGTTTTAAGTGAGAGGAATAATATTTATCGCATATAAATGGAGCTACCAATAGAAAACTTTAAAAATTATGTTTTATTTTGTTATTTGCAGCATTGAAGAAAAATAGAGTAGAAAAGTAAGACTAATGCCGAATTTCCACTAGGCATTGAAATGACAAAAAACTTATGCCATTTAAAAAAATGCCAAGTGGAAATGAACTTAATGAACTTAATTTTTTTAATGTAATGACAAGATTATTTTTTAATGCCCGACTTTGTCGTTTGTCATTTCTGCCATTTATTGCCTAGTGGAAATCCAGCATAATAGATTATATCTCGATAATTGAATTTTTCAATTTCGTTGTAAATGGCGACAAGTTGGTCAGCTATTCTGTCTGGTTCATCATGTAATTTTGGGCATACTCCATATACCAGAGGTAAAGGGTAATATATGTATAACCGGATAGTGGTATCTTTATCCGGGTACCCAGGAAGAAGGTTATCTTTATCCGGGTAATTTATTAACCGGTTATATTTGTCCGGTTGCCCAAGTAGTAGGTTATCTATATCTGGGTACCCGGATTTGGTATTATCATTATCCGGTACCAGGATAGAGGGTTATATTTGTCGGGACCCGGATAGTGGGTTATTTTTCCCGAGTACCCTGGTCGGTGGTTACCTTATCTTTATTAAATTATCTTTACACGGGTACCCGGATGTAGTGTTATTTTTTTCCGAGTACCCGGGTTAGCGGTTATCCTAATAACGACAAAGATAACCGTCTTTTTATTTCGAATCGATAAAGGTTTCTCTCTGAGATAAACTAAAAAACTACTAAAAAGGTTGCGGTTAATCTCCGACTGATACTTTATGTCTCCTTCGATAAGAGTTATTATGCGACCATTTGAATTGGTTAATAATTATCTTCGATCTCTGCTGGTTACGCATTGCGTATGTTAATTTTTCAAGTTGTAAACTTGTAGACCCCACTCATTTTTAATTTGTTAATAGTGGCGACGAAAATTTTGTGTAGCGATTGTCAGAATTCCACTGCTGGTCTTAAGAGGTTAAATTTAATTAAACATTGTATATTATACTCACCACTCAAATGACCAAGCTCCTTGGTAAGCTTGTGACGCCGCTTAAAGAATACCATCACACCGACGGTGACGAAGAATATGGCTAGCAGAAAGACTATTACCAATACCATAAACCAAGTCTGATGCACTACATTCGATGATTTATGATGTGTTGTTGTGGTGGCCGCATCGTCCGGCATGCCAGCTGGATGATAAGCATAGTGACTGCCATCGGCACCCGGGCTACCAGGATGGCCATGACTACCGGCGATGCCACTATGTGAGCCGCTGGGATGAGCGCGTGGTGGATGCACTAAGTGTGTGGGATCCATGAACAAGGAGACCTAGGAAAATTCAGAAGAAGCAATGAATGAGTGAACTAGAATGGGGATACATAATTTAGTGCAATTTAATTAAGTTAAAATAAGATGTTTAGTGGATATTGTCAAAAAATAGACTTTAAAGTTAGTTAAAGTTAAAGTCACTTCGGGCTACAAATTTACTAGTAAAGAGAGAGCAAACACTGCTGAAAAATAACAGAAACTAGCACAAACTTTACTTGAAAACGAAATTTTATGTAAGGAGTGCCATTTGACAGTTTCACTATTTTTCTTTCTTTTCATTGAGTAGATCGTGGAACAAACCTGTAGTGTAAATTTTTAAAATTTTGTGCGAGTACAAGTATTTGAGTGTACGATTTTTTGCTCTCTATTTGTACTTAGATATATGTATTTTTTTTATCTCAAATACTCACTGGCTCCGCGTAGGGCCCTTCGCCCGCTTTGGTGTATGAATTCAAACGCACATTGTAGGTTGCGCCTGTGGTGAGGTTGTTGAGCAACACTGAAGTAGTTGTAGCGTTCAGCGTCATATTGGCTAACACCTTGAACGTATTACCAGCGGTGACCTGGAGAAGAAGGAAATACAAATTTATTAAAAATTTAAAAATATTGAGTAAAGTGAAAATCATACGATTTCTACATTTGTACAGATTTGTACATTTTGGCAGTCACAGAGTGGTGTTGTTTAAAAATTTGAGTTCAACTTAATACAAGAATTTCCCAACAACACCACTCTGTACCTGCCAAAATGTACAAATCTTTACAAATGTATAAATCGTGTCATTCCTGCTTAAAATTAATAATTTTAGTTAACCAATGACAAGTTAACAGATCTAGTAAATTTTAAAAATACATCATTTTTTAACAAAGTAAAAATTGATTTCTACTTTGTCAATAGGATACATTCTCACATACTCTAGCATTGGTCACAATCACTTCACTTCACAATTCTAGCAAATATAGTTGAAAGACATTAGGCTAGATAGTTTGAAAGATTTTGTTTATTCAGGCACGAGAGTCTTACTCCCTTGCTATATTTCATGATGAAAATCTCTTTTGACAGAAATACAGATAAATAAGTATGGCTATAATTTAGCTCGCACTGGTCCAACAAAGTGAATCGAGAGAACCGAGGCAGCGGAGTTTTTTTTATTTGTTTTTATAAAATAATTTTATTTATTTTTATTACATTTATTTTACTTTTCAGATTTCATTAAAAATTCGTTTAATTTTTAGGTATTTATTTTAAATATTATCTAATTTTTCTTTTTTAGATTTCATTTTGAAAAGAAAAATATTGTACTTTAATTTTTGTTAAATATTTAGCAACATTCATTTGGTATTTTATTATTATTTTTTTTAATTATTTTCATTTAATTTTCTTTACACTTTTAGATTGTTGTTTAAAAAAAGAAAAATGTATTTTTGTAATTTCATTAGATTTTGAAGAACTTTTTCTTTTTTTAAGTTAATTTTCTTATAATTTTCAGATTATATAATTTTAAAAACAAAAATATTTTTTAAATTTGATTAATTTTCAAGAACTTATTTTTTTGGTTTTTTTATTTAAACTTTTAGATTTTATTGTTTCAAAAAGAAACATATTATTTTAGTATGATTTAATAAATTTTTTAATGATATTTTTTCTTTCTTTTTTTAATTTTTTTCTAATAATTTTTAGTTATTATTGTTTTGGAAAGAAAAAACATATGTTTTTGTAATTTTATTTAATTTTTAGAAAACTTAAGGCCGTTTTCTGAAGTAACCTTTTAGTTTAAAGCTCACTTTATATTTAAAGTAAAGCTATGTCTAAAGATAAGCATTTCTATTATCGGTTTATGACGTATGTATGTTCCTTGGTTGTAATTTAAAACGGAAAATAAAATGCTTTACTTTAGACACAATCATAAATTTTAATGCAACCTTTTAATATAAAGTGATCTTTAAAGTTAAAAGTTACTTGGGAAAACGGCCCTTAGTGGTAAAAAAAATATCCTAGTTAGCAGATCTTTCAGTTAGTCTTTCGAAAGATAGAAAATAGAATTGACCATTGCCTTTTTAGAAACTCGTTTTATGATTTTAATATTTTTAATTTAATTGTTTTATTTTTTTTAGTTTAATTTTGTCTTAATTTTTAGCTTTTTTATTTTTAACAAAAAATATAAATATATATATTTTTTTTATTTAATTGTTATTTCTAGCAAACACTAATGGCTTTTCTTTTCCACAAAAAATGCTGCCTTCTCACTGCCCTCTCCTAGGTAGGTATTTGTGCGTAAGGGGGCACTGAGAAGGCATCATTTTTCGGTAGAAACGCCATAAGACCTCCTCGTTAGCAGATCAGTTGAAGCCCTGTATTTAAGTATATATTGCAGCATAAATTGATATGCATACATTCATCGGTATATTTATATGCATACGGCGGAAGGCATAAGTACATATATTTAAGTACAAAAAATATATATGTTTATCAGAGCCCCTTTTAATATCATAGGCATTATTTGGAAGAACAAATAACCTTTGCTTAAGGAGAAGAAACGTGAATAAATTCACAATTCAAAGCCAAAAAAAACATGAAAAAATGTCGTAAGAAATCAGAAAATTTGATTTGTGAAATTTCGAAATTAGGAAGATTCGCTTCGTTTATTCCAAGTAAAACGAAATTTTAGTCCTCCAGGTTTCTGTAAAAAATTTCATATGCCGGGTTATTTGGTATAATTACGAGAAGTTATGTATAAATTTACTTTTAGTTTTAACTTGCGCTTTATTTTAGGCTTTCGCTATGGTTCACATTTCCTAATAATAAAACTGCTACGGCAATGGAATATATTTTAATACAAATAACTAATATTTTCTCCTACAGAACGAAAATTCCTAAACTCCCTAAAATTTATCAGAAAAATGCTCGCACGTTCATAGATACGTAATTGAATTAAAATGCAATTTCATTCAGTTTTTATTAAATTTATACAACTCTCAAATTCAAACAGTTATCAACGTTTTGCTGTTAACTGAATGAAATTCGATCGAATTAAAAAGAAAATTTAAGTTCAGCAAAATACCAAACATTTTTTCAGAAATATAGCAACAGTAAATGTTAAGAGACAAAAGAGTTTCATGTTTCCACACGTTTTTTATTTACATAAATTTTCTAATCTCCAAATGCGCAGAGTGTTGAATATTTATAAAGCATAAAAATTTAATTAAAAAAATGTGATATATCCGTGCTACTTTAGCGTGTATTGAAATTTCAATACAAATCATATATCATAATCATAGCGTTAAAATTCAGTACACGTTCGAATTTATGTATATGCATGTATGTTTATATATTATGGCGCAAAAGTTTTCAAATTAATTTTTCATAAACTTCATACATTCGTGCGACCACAAAATTACATTTACAATGGCAGTGCGGGTTACGAAAAAACTTAAATACAAAAATAAAAACAAAATAAAATATTAATACTAGTATGAAAAAAAAAACAAAAAAGACTGTGTGAATATTCAAGCTTTTACATACATATGTGCATTTCCACACCTTTACACGCCGTGTCATAAATATAAGCGCACCAATTTTTTTTTTATTTTTTATATATATTTTTTTTCTGTTATTGAAGATTAGTTGTTTTTTTTTATTAAAGCATAGTTTGTTCTTAAACGAAAATCATAATAATAATTAATTATTTAATAAATAGCGAAGATTTACAAGGAGATATTTATTTAATTGCAAAAGAAATAAATCTAATAATTTTTCAATCAGTAAAATAATTTGACAAAAAGTGCAGAGCTTTTAAGGAATCGAAATTCAATGCAAAGTAATCAACTGCCGAACACTGCATTCATCTATTTATAACAAATACAAGTTTCGAAGTTTGTGCAATATCAAAGAAAAATCAATAAAACTTTCTCAAAAATTTTGAGTATGCAATTTTGTAGTACATTAGAATTTAGCAAAATAAAGTGTAAATTTGGGGTAGTTTGAACTTGCTACAGATTTTTAGGTTTTTTGTTTTTGTTGACGGCGTTGCGCCCTTTCTTCCATATAAAGAATGTTCGAGAATTTTTTAAATGAAAGAAAAAGATCAACACCTTCAAACAAAAAAAAAACAAATTAACAAAAATCAATGGTAAGCTCTAGGTACTTTCGTTACATTATACTAAAAAGCCCGACATTTTTTCGAAAGTTTTTTTTTTTTTAGTTTGAAATTTGAATTAATACAGTTTTTAAAGAATAAAATGTGGTGCATGCTACACTTATAATTATGACACGTGGTGTATGCACATTTGTTTGTAGAAATTTATGTATGTATACAGGGCACTTACCTCTATTTTATAGCCCAACAAGTTGCCGTTATGATGCTGCGGCGGCGGCGGTGACCAACGCACCCAACCCGCTGTCAGGTTATACATGCCAATCTGGATGTTGTCCGGTGGCGCTGAGGGCACTGTAAAACAAAAAAGAAGGTAAATGCGGGAAAGTTTAAAAAAGTTGCATGCATGTACATTAGGGTGGTCCAAAAATAAATGTGGATAAAAACAGTTTAAAATGTTAAACGCTCACATCCTAGGATTTTTCTAAATGGAAAAAAATAATATCAGAAGAATATTTTAAGCAGTAATGGTATATAATTCTTTAAAATCAATATTTTTTGATCGGAAAACTTTGTCGCTCTTTAAGAGACTTCCAATATAATACCCAATTGTTAATTTATTAATTTGTTAACATTAACTATTTTTTATAAGTCTCTCAAAAACCCTAACCATTTAAACAAAAACTCTAGGGGTGAGAGCTTAATATTTTAATATTTTTTTTGTCACCCTAATGCACATGTGTGGTTGCAAGAAGTTGTGGGTACGAGTTTATTTGTAGCTGCCTGCAAGCGAGTAAACGCCATCGAACATACATAAATATGTATTACTAATGAAAAGCCTCAACATTAAATATTGCATATGTGTAGGCGTCAGTGCACCTTGTAAAATACACAGAGAGCGCTAACACCGATGCGGCCGGAAGAACTGAGCGCAAATACACATATTTGCATGTGTGTTTGCTGCGCACGTGAATAAGTGAAAAAAATTGGTATTTTACAGGAAAAGCTGATGGTGAAAAATTCCATGAAATATGCATAAATGTTTGTGTACACAAGCGAAGCGTGCTGATCTGGGGGGTGGCCGTAGCTTGAGTGCAGCAGCGTATGTGTGTGTGTTGTCGCGGTTATTGGCCCCACACCCAGACGCACACATACATCCAACCACTCATCTCAACACATATGCAACATCCAACGGCGTTATTATATTCCCACCAGCATTTCCGCTTTTGACCAGCGCTTTTTCCTTTTCCTTTAGCTGGACATATGTATGTAGATATGTGTGTGTGTATGTTTGCCTGAGTATTTTTGCAGGTGTGTTTATTTGTGGTCGGTATATATTTTTTCCATTTTTTATCAACGCACAGCTTCCGCATGCTGATTTTACAGCAGTTTTGGCCAATTAAATTCTTTAAATTGAAGTTTTTCGCAAACCTTCAGCGAAGTAAATCTGTTACCAAAAAAATATGTACTCGATCATATACTGTATTACTTTAAGCTCTTTAATATTTTTTGCGCTTACGGTAAGCAAAAAACGCGGTGAATGGTTTTTAATAAATACCGGCTAAGCTTAAAACATTTCAACTACAAATTGTTTAAGCGCAAAGTTCAACAGGCGTGACGCAGAAATTAAGAGTGCACACATTTTAGTTTAAGTATCTTGTATTGCTATTATTTTTACAAATTTTTTTTGCATGTATAATTTTCAACTCACTCACTCTGTTATTTTTAGGACATGTGATATAGGTATGTATAATAAAAGACTTAAAAAAAGCTGCGTAAATTGTAAATATTTAAAGCAAAACTAATCGAAAACCTGCGCAAACATATGTACATGCGGGAAATTTCATGCCAAGTGCAGTTGCAGGAAGTCTCTCTTAGCCTAAAAGTCTTCATGTATGCATTTAATTAAAAAAAAAAAACGCGGCCTTTTGAGCAATTCAATGTAGCGTCTAAATTAGATGTAAATTTAATTTTTTCTTATAAAACGGCGGACAGAGTATCTATGGCAGCCAAAAAAATCAAAATCGATTAGGTTCGTTCACGAATTTACAATCAAGCGTGGATTTTTGAAGTCGCTGACTACGAATCTGAAATCAAATTTCAGAAATTCGAAACGGTGGATCCAAATTTGATCTCCCATTTATAACCGAAAAGTTAATCAGGGCTATCACAGAATCCATCGTAGCTTCGATTTTCGTGAAATCTACGAAAGTGCTATCCCAGAATCCGTATGGCTACGAACGTAAATTCGAAATTCGTAGAGAGCCTTAGTAATAGTTTAGCAACAATTTATTAGGAGATAAACCTAATAACTTTAATATCATAAAAATTTATTTAAAAAAAAAAAACAGTTTTCTATTTAAAATAATAAAATCTAAGCTAAAAATATACTAAAAAAATATATTCATTAAAAAAATAAACAAAAATTAAATAAAAAAAAAAAAAATCTCCACTGCCCCACGACTCGGACTCGAACTCGGCTCTCTCAATTGGCAGTCTAGTGCTTTGCACAATCGGCCATTGCGCCTGATGGGGCAGCGAGAGCAAAATGGCATACATAAATGTCTGTTGCTTCCTTTGCACTAATTGATTTCGAATCAGCATTCGAAGCTGGCAACGATATTTTCGAGTTCACTCGGATTCAGTGATAGCAATTTTTTCGTATTCGTAGCGGGTATTTGAATTCGTAGATTTTCTACGATGGATTCCGTGATAGCCCTGAATATCGAGCGTACGTATCTACATGGCGTATGAGTTACTCAGATGACATGGGAATGTTACTCATACGCCATGTACATACGTACGTTTGAGGATAAAATTTCCATGATAAATAGCACCGTGCGACAGATAATTTTACACACATAAAAAATCAAATTATTCTCTGTGACGTCAAGACTTTTTAAAAGGACTTTAAAATTTCACATATATGATAATTTCAAATAGTAGCAAGCAACTCTGCGCACTCAGCTACAGCCACAACATTTGAGTGTATTTTCAAATATTCACTTTGAATCAAAGTCCAATAACGCGATTGGTGCATTTGTACATTTAAATAGTAACAGAGTGGTGTTTTTTTTTTGGAAATTTTTGTATTGAGTTGAACTTATTCTTGATGAAAATTTCTAGACAACGCCACTCTGTAATCGATCAAACAAACTAAGATCGTGCTGGTTGCTTCAACGGTTGCCTTGTGTGTAGTCAGCATAAGATAGCACTCTAGACACCAAATATAAATTCTTTTATGTATTGTTACAACAAACTTGATGGTTTATTGGTTAATTTCAGCTTTGAATATTATTCCTTAATAGATCTCTTTTTGAGTCTTTTAATAAGAATCCTATTCAGAAAATCTTGAAACGAATGACTCAATTATAAAAAGAACGATTGAATTTTTTTCTTCATTAATCATATTTTTATATAGAAATAAATAACAAAAAAAGTTTAGATCGAAAAAAATTTTAATCACTGTATGTATATTGGTAGCTCCGAGACTGAATAATTATCTCCATCGAAAATGATCGGATCTAGAATGTAGTCTGTGAGACAACAGAACTTTCAGCTACTTATGCAGTTACTATTAACATCTTACTCTTTACATGACGGCTTCTAAAACCTTGCCGGGTTTTAAGCAATTAGTTTTACAAGTCTGTATCTTCTCATTCGGCACTAAAACAGTTTGTATTTTGGGGCTTAACTATGTCCATGTAGTAGAAACATAGAAACAGAAACATAGATTTGGTATAAAATAGTTCTATCGAAAGACTCGAAGAACCTCACCTCAGGACCTTCTTATCTTTGTTTTACATCATCCACTCGGAGGAATTTGGGGAGCCTAAGGTCCCTGATTTTCATTTTTGTCATTTTTCGATTGCTTTTCAGACTTATCTATTTATCTGTTTATGCTTATGTGGTTGTTTTGCTTATCCTTTTCAATGCCTGTTTTGGAGCCACATTTATAAGGTCCATCCAGTTGGTTCATGAAGGGTTTGAGTCTTTCACATAGCACATATTGTCAACTGAAACTTGTACGTAATATTGAGGATCCTTTTTCTTGCGGATTAAGAAACGTACACTTTTCCGTCTTTGGGCATGTACATGCATATGTATGTATGTATTTATTTGACAAGATTTCCATCAGTGGAGCGCGTGAACTTCATTCCTATACGTTGCTCGGGATTTTTAATTTTTTTTTTTTTATCAAGCGTCCCACCTACGACCCCATACAGAAGTGTAGTCTAAATGTATTCTAGACTTCTGTTACTACATTTCTTCCTTCAGCTTTGCACGAACTAGCTCTCGTTTTATAAAAATTATTTCCTGATATAATATTTTTTCTTCCTCATGAAATAATTGTTTTTCCCCTCATTCATAATTTTTTCCGATTTGCCAAATCTGATGCAGTTCAAGAGAGCTCCTTTAAACGAACCCAACTAAATACATCAAAGTTGTCTTATCGAAAAATGCTGCCTATTTTTTTACTTTGGCAATTAACTGATTACACACACAAATATTTCAATAAAAGAACTAACAAGCTTTGGTACGTAAAATTTTGCAAGGCTATAAAGTAAAAAAAAAAACCTTATGCATTTTATCGGCAGCGCTGATATAGTTATATAAGCTAATTCTTCCATAGAAACTAAGCTAATAGCTTAAATTTCTGATCAAATGAATCCGGCCTAAGGTTGTTGTATTTTGTTAGTGTAAAAAAATGTCCTTTTTGTTTTACCGCTTTTTCATTAACATACATACAAAGGTAGGTACTCACCATCTTCGTAAGTCTGTACAATCTTCGAATTGCTTGGCTGACCCTCCAATGTTTGATAGAATGGCGCAAGGAAAAACTCGTATTTCGTATACTCCTTCAGATTGCCAACCACATGTGATTCAATCGATGGATTTAGCACAGTTAAAATATTATATTGTTGCGAGTTGGCGCTTATGTCACGGTAACGCACATAAAGACCCTGTTTCACAAAGCAAAGAGTAGAAAGAGAAATCATGCAAGTGAGGCGAAGACAATGAATGAAAATATATATGTAGAAAATTGTTTAATTATGCAATTAAATAAAATCAGCATGTTCAAAATATATACGTATGTATTATGTACAATAAATAAGGAATATCCCAGCCAACTAAGAGAGTGCACAAGGTGCATTATTAGAACTCCCTGTGCGCTGCGCAGATCCACCTAGTGGGACACCGAAAAGAGACCCCGGCGAAAACGTTTGCCCTACTTCTAGATTAGCTGGGTGCCTAGAACTTCAAACGTTGCTCAGAGCTCGACGACAATGTAATAGGTTAATCTGCTATATATTTTTAACAAATAGTAACTCTTTTCGAAAAATTTGACCTTG